GAGGGATTTTTGATCGTTGGGGAGGTACGTAGTCACCATGATTCTCGCCGTGACATACCCAATCAAAATAATTAGGTGTGAATCCAAACCGCAAAATGTGCTCCAGGATATTCTTTGATGAAAAAAACTTGATGTTCTTACATTTCACGCAAGGACATCGCATTTTCTTGTTATCCAACCTATCTACATTGGGACTTGACTCACAGTACTCTACAAACTCAACCACGTTGTCCACCCATTCTTGACTAACAACACCTTCTCTCTCATATTTCTTATACATCAACTCACGATTTTCGAATGGACTCATTCTAGAAACGCCTGGTAAATGAAAGGCAACAAACAACAATAATTTAACCAAGAATATCAATGACATTTATTACCAACAAACCATAGCAACAATAAAGGCGGCTAACAAACGACAATCTTATTAAACCACAAACAACAATCATTCAACTATAGATATGAACTTATCATCACCTCAATTTCACAAAATTAAACTAAATTTTACCTAAACTCACAATAAACAACAAATTTACGAACACAATTTTAACTAAAATTACACGGCCATCAATTTCACCAAAAAGTAGTGCAATTGTTACCCAATTTCAAGTCAATTTCATCTCATATTCACACAATTTTAAGTAAATTTCACCAAAAATGCACTCAATTTCACACAAAGAAATTCAATTTCACACAATTTTCTGGTCGTACTGGTATTAACAATGCCTAGCAATTGAAAGATGTCAAACAACAAACTTTAACCACAATAAACAAACAACATTGTAGAACCACAAATAGCATACTAATTAAACACGATTTCAATTCAATTGCACTAAAAATTATCTCAATTTCACATAAAAACATTGGATTTCACCAAATTTTACAATAAATTTAAAATGCATAAAAATAAATAATAAACCTTGAATTTGAGGGGTTGTGAAGGATAGAGAGGTGGCAAACCGGAGGTGGCAGTGGGGCGTCGAGGGGCGGCGTGGGGTGCCGAGGCACCGACGGCGGTGGAGAGAGGTCAGGGATGGCCTGCGAGAGGCGTTGACGAGAGGTGGCGCGGATGGAGGCTACGCTGCAAGAGGCGCTGACGGCGAAGGGGTCCGGTTAGGCTCAGTTGGTGGCGCGGTTGAGGGCGACGAGAGGGGATCTAGCGGCGAGAGGCGCGGTTGAGGGCGGCGAGTGGCGCTGCCGGATAGGGTTTCGTTTTTGGAGTGAGTCTGCGTTACTGACCGATGAAAGGAGAATAAGTGTGGAAGTAATAATACTCTGCGACAGACAGAATTTCCATCGCAGGCCTATAGCTGTTCCGCGAGAGCGAAATGAATTTTAAAATTGTTTGTTATTTGCGATGCCTTTGGTTTTTCCGTCACAGATCTGCGACGGAGTTATGTACATCCGTCGCAAATGATATGTGGAACACGACATTTGAAATTCCGTCGCAGGTTTGTAGCAGATCTGCGACGGAAGAGTGTCTGTAGCAGATATCCGTTGCAGATCCAGCACATTCTTGTAGTGTATGCTTTTGAAGAAATGCAAGAAGCACTTCATGAACTTTATGAAGAATTTGTTAGCGCTTCTAAAACAAATAAATCTTTGAAGAAACGTCTTTCTACACTTGAAAACGATTTTGAAAAATTGGAAAAAGAAAATGAAATACTTAAACAAGAAAACAAATTTTTTGGAAAAAGTAGCGCTAACAAACCAGAAAGTTCATCAAGTGAATGCGGGTCTTGTAAAGCTTTAAAAGAGCAAGTTGCTAAACTTGAGAGCACGGTCAAGAAATTTAATACTCCTCACAAAGACTTAAATTTACTTCTTGACACTATGCATTTTTCTAAGGAAGGAATAGGTTTTAATAAAAATGAAGCTAAAGATAATGTTGAGCCACCACCTAGACAATCATCTAAGGCTCAATATAAGAAACCTAAAAATCAAGACAATAGAAAACCTAGTCAACCTAAGGACACTAGACAACCTAGACTAAAACCTAGGAATGAAAATGGTCATGGTAGACAACCTAAGAAAAATGATTTTGTGCACAAAAACGAATTTTCTCAAATTAGGAGAAATAATGCTAGAACACCTAGAAAAGGCAAGTTTCAAAATTTTCAAAAACCATTATTTTCACAAAATAGGAACAAAATGGTTAAACCCTCTAACTATTATGAACCTAGGCACATGTACAACCCCAACATAGTTTGCCATTATTGTAATAGGATAGGCCATATTGCTCCCGTTTGCTACACTAGGCATAGGCACCTATCACAAAACCCAGCACACTACCATCACACACCTAACACCCGAGGACCCAACGTAAATTGGGTACCTAAAACCCATTGATGTGTTTCATAGGTGTGCTTGAAGGCATCAAGTGTACTTTGGTACCTTGATAGCGGATGCTCCAAGCACATGACCGGGGATGCATCCAAGTTTCTCCAAATCAAACCCGCTAAAGGAGGAAACGTAGTTTTTGGAGATAATAGCAAGTGAAAGATTATCGGCACTGGTTCGGTAGGTAAATCTGAAAACTCCTCTATAGATAATGTCTTGCTTGTTAAAGGTCTTAAACACAATCTCTTGAGCATAAGTCAATTATGTGACAAGGGAAACCGTGTGACCTTCGATTCAAAATCATGCACAGTAGAATGCCTTAGTGACAATAAGGTCATTCTACGTGGTGACAGAATCGATAACATTTATATGGTTCACTTAGACAAATCTCCTTCCGGCTTTGCTAAGTGCCTCATGAGTAAAGAGGAAGACACTTGGTCATGGCACCGAAGGGTAGCTCATATGAACATGAACCTTTTGAACAAATTGGTTTCACAAGACTTAGTAATTGGCATTCCAAAACTTAAGTTTGAAAAAGACGCCATATGTGATGCATGTCAAAAGGGGAAGCAAGTTCGGGCTTCGTTTAAGTCTAAGAACGTTGTTTCAACGTCTAGACCGCTTCAACTTTTGCACATGGATCTCTTTGGTCCTTCTAGAACGAAAAGCTTTGGTGGCAATTACTTTGCGTTTGT